CTATTTATTTGCTGACACACAAAATGAGCTAATGAAACTTTATGGCGTACACAATTTTAACCATTCGTAATGATTTGATGATTTCCTTCCTTTAGCAATTTCAATTTTTGATTTTTTTTTCGGTATTAGGGAGCAATGGTTATGCAAAATAATATAAACATAAAAGCTGTGTTAGCTCTCGTCGCAAGCGTTTGCTTTTGCTTTGCCATTCATTACAAATTTTTTTTTATTTCACTCACAAAGCGGTCTTTGATTTGCCTTGATAGAACTTATTCATTCTGTGATTTGTATCTTCCCTGCAAGTATTAGATATTATTCTAAATATTTCAAACAATATTTCAAACACGGTTTTAAACAATGCAAGATGCAGTGCTCTAGTATTGGTACATATCTGCACCGGAGCTTCGCCATTAGTCATCCGTATTCACAGGTGGACAATTCAGTGGTCGCAAAACTCTGCACTGTTTTCAGCCATATCCTATTTCTATTATTTCTGTGCTAATGCAATGAAACCCCGAAATATTCGCCATTTAAAAGTACATATTTTGACACGCTGGATTTTCATAAATCTATATTTGATTTGCTAACGTTGCTATTTTTGAGATACTCTCATAAATACGTTGGTTTTAACTCTTTCTAGAGAACGGACTCTCAAACATATGCGCATAAAAATTAAGATTATGTTGTGCATGTTTGCCATCAAGTTCACATGACTCACGGAAAGTGAACTTCAGAAATTCCACGTATCTAGACGACGGGTTCGCCCTGGCAAAATTTCTTTCTCTTCCTGTTCCTTGCCTTCTTCTCGTTCGTCTATCAGCGAATCTTTTTGGCTGTTCTTTATGTGAATACATGCGAGTGAGGCTGAACCGTGATTTATTTTAATCAATACGGATAGAGCGAAAAAAAGTGGTAATTTTTCAATCGCAGTACAAAAATAATGGTCCACCATATGGAATTCAGAAAGTCGACTAATGGTTGGGGATTACATTATAAGAATCGAGTCACAAATGTCGTAAATTTTTGAACTGCATATTTTGTGAATAAAAACATTGTCAGGAATTCGTGAGATTCCAGTTTTGTCTGATTTATATGGAATTTTATTAGCACCTTTCAATGTGATGGTTCCCTGTGCAGAGCAAACGGTATGGAATCCAAAAGAAGCGCATTGAACCAGGCCAAGGCTGTCAGAAAAAAATCGTTCATTAGCACATAGTTCGATCGTAAAGTTTCGGCTTCCTTTATTTTAGAATTCTGTGCTTTCATAATAAAACATTCCTAATTCTTTTCTCTGCCCAAATGCTACAGTTGGTTTTGTTTCCTGTCTTTTCGTAATTGGCATGCCTGTTTCCGATCAATCCATCTTCTCGCGATGTCATTACTGTTTGATCAAATTACCAATACCTTACTGTGGGCTACTCAGTGATTTGGCCTTGTCGATGCTCTCTTTCTCTCAGTGCTATAAAAACGGAATGTATTAGCATAAAAAACTTACCTTGTGAAAAAATTCGCTTTTTACTGTGTGCTCCCGTACGCCTGTACTAATAAGATGGTTATGCAATTGTGTTCGCTGCGAATTTTTGTTCAGGATATCCTTTGTGTAGGGAAACTCCAGATGAGGGCTTTGAAGGTGATCTGGACTTATTACCATCCACACTATTCAAAACCTAGCTTGCCTATTTTCAAAAGGTTCAGCCATTTTTGCATTTTGAGAATATCAATAAGATCATTTCAAAAAAATCATGACGCAATATTTTCAAGGCAAAAAATTCAAAGAAAAATGCCGCAATGTTCAAAAGATTAAGATTTTGAATTCGAATTCAATTCAAGACAGTATAACTGATCAATTTAGACAAGGAATGATTGTTAGCTTACAACTACTCGAAACATTTTCTTGTACTTTACCACCCATATTTTCGAGAGGTGTATCTTGTCTATATGCTCTATCTCCCCTACTTCATTACTCAAAACTCAAGTGCAGCAGCTGACGCAAACTGTTTATTTTCCCACTTCAAATTAAGTGTACAATTATTTAAAGTTTGAATCTGATGCATCACTATTTAGAGTTAGTCACTTTTGCCGTAGTGTTCTACTATTCCCTGTTGGAACTACATGATAGCTGCCTTTGATGTTGCAACTTGGTATTTGCTCGAATCCGCATCAGAAACATAAGCGAAAAATTTCAATGTTATTTTGTCAAATATGATGATCTGGTGGTAATTTTTGAAATTCTGATGCATCGACGCACTATTTTAAAAGCTCAGATATTTTTCAAATCTTAGTCTTATGTTAGCAGCAAGTGAACACATGCTTGTTTCGATTGTCCGGTAATCAGGAATATGAAAACTGTAAAGTTTTTATTCTTTCGTTATGTTTATTATCCATGGTACAATCCAATTTTTCGCAATCCATTTTTCAAAACAACACTTGGCATTTTTTAGAATCATTTTCTACAACAGCCTCGGCCAACTTTTTCTGAATTGCTGAGCATTGGAAAAAACGAAAAAAAACACACTTGGTTTTAAGTGAAAAAAATGGGGCAATATAGTATGAGATTTCCTTCGCTATTTTTGGTTCAAAAATTAACACTACCATTTGTCACCAGACTACTTGTTGTACGAATACAATGCCTTGGAGTCTTTGAACTGGTCGAGTGATATTTATTTCTCTCTACTCCGAACTCAGCTACTGGATAGAGATGACGAAGTCAACGCTGATTTCACGCTGGTGAAAAGGTCGTAGGCAAATTTTCGAGTTTTAGCCTACGCATTTTCGTCAATACGTTAAATGTGTTTGTTTGTGGTATTTGTTTGCGGATTGTACGAGGACATACAGAGGTGTGAGGATTTCCTTGCATTGTGCATGGCCGTCAGCATTTTGTACTAGTTCTTTTTGACGTCTTCTGTTTCTATTAACTAAACGATGTTTGCCCGGTTTCAAATAATGTAAGATGCAATGTTCTAGTATTGGTACATATCTGCACCGGAATTTCGCCATTAGTCATCCGTATTCACAGCTGGACAATTCAGTGGTGATACGCAAAACTCTGCACTGTTTTCAGCCATATCCTATTCTTTCTATTATTTCTGTGCTAATGCAATGAAACCCCGAAATATTTGCCATTTATTCGCCAAAAGTACATATTATACATAAGTACAAAGAAAATTACTGCAGTGCTTACAAGATTCTAAGTACGAGGTCAAAACAGTATAGTTGAGTGAAATCAGAAAAGGAGTGATTATTAGCTTACTACGATAAATCTCAAAACCTTTTTTTGTACCTTACTTCCATAGTTTCGAGAGGGGTGTATGCTTGATCTAGATGGTATATCTTTCCTCAATTCGTGCTCTACTTTTACTTCGTCAAAACTTAAGAACAGCAACCGCGAATCTTTTTTCCGTGACGTACTTTTACACGTGCTCTGATGGTATCGCAAAGTGAAGAGATTCAGCCATTTGAATTTTTTACGCAAAAATAGTGAAGTCGTAATCTGGCACTCACTGCCTAAAGATAGTTACCATTGTCGGACTATTCTCTGGTAGAAACTATATTTTAGCGTTCTTTGATGTTGCAACTTGGTATTTGCTCGAGTCCGCATCAGGAACATTCGAAAAAGAACTCGAATATTGTTATTTTTTCAGTTTTGCAAATCTGATGATGTGGTGGTAATCTCTTGAGACTTTGTTTATCAATGAAATCGATGTATTCTCAATCTCTCTTTTCACTGTTACTCTTAAAAGCGAGTGACTGCATGACTGTTTTCGGTGTAACGATTGAGAGTATTAAATTGTTTGTTTTTTCTTTCATTATTGTCTGTTGTTCATGTTGCTGCACACCAATTTTTTGCAAACATTTTTACAAGCTTCGACCACTTTTCCTATAAATCGCCGAGCGTCAAAAAAAGGGAAAAAACATCTTGCTCTAACTGAAAATTTTTGACTTGGTTTTTTGAATCAAAGTAATTCCCATTTGGCACCGATAACTCCGAGTCAAAGTAATTCCCATTTGGCACCGATAACTCCTGCCAAACGAATACTATCATTTCTCTCTACCCTGGCCCAGTTTGGCCCACTAAATGGAGATGACAAAGTCAACACTGATTTCACACTGGTGAGAAAGGGTTGTACGCAAAGTTCCGATTTGATGTTTAGCGTACGCATTCCCGTCAATACGATGAATGTGTTTGTTTGTGTTGTTTGTTTGCGAATTGTATGACGTAAATACGAAGGTGTGAATAGATTTCCTCGCACTGTTAAAGCTGTCAGCGGTTTTCTACCACTCTTTTCATGAAATTTCTATTTATTTGCTGAATTCACACAAAATAAGCTAACCAGACTCTATGGCTGCACAATTTTGCCCACTTGTCATCATTTTATTTCCTTCATTTCTAACACTTTTAGTTCTTGATTCTGGCCCCAGACAGACTTTACGCGATTTGATCGTCACGACTGAATCGCGACGAGACAACTGTTACAACATCATTCCAGGTCGATCAACTTGCATTTCGTTGTTATACTTTTCCAGTCCGAAATTTTTGAATGTGAAATGAAAATGAATGGAAATGTCGGCGATTGAGTCGCGACGATCAAATCGCGTGAAGTCTGCCCGGGGCCTTAAGTGTACAAAAGCAATGGTCATGCAGCAAAGTATGAATATAAAAGCTATATTAGCTCTCGTCGCAAGCCTTCGCTTTTGCTTTGCCATTTATTATTTCCAAATTTTTTATTCCACTCACAAGCGATCTTCGATTTGCCTTGATAAAACTTCCTCTTTCTGTGATTTGTAATTTCCTTGCAAGTAATGTATCATACCATTATCCTAATTATTAGGTTGTAGCATAATTAATGCACGTTTTTCTAATCTCTTTTTGAAAAAGCTGATTCTCAAAGAAAAACCATTTTTCTCCAAAATCTTTTATAGTGCCCGAAAGCCTGATTCTTCAGTTTCCAGTATGCATGCAAACGATTAATTATGAGACAACCTAACATTATATCTTCAAAGACTCAACCACTTTTTACAGTTTCAAAGGAATGCTAGTGATCTTGTTATCGCTAGTTGCTGTCACTGTTCAACAACAATGGACATCCGAAGATTATCCAAACCCACGAAAGGACGGCTTCAAACAATGTAAAATGCGATCAAGAAGTAATATCTGTGATCCAGATGAAGTAAGTCGATAAAAGAGTCACATGACTGTTGAGTGGATTTGTCAGTACGTTTTTGTACACCAAATATCAGCAAGCATTCAAAATTTTTGTCAAACACCTTCTGGAGATTCAAGAAGAGTTAAAGGCTGTAATTTTGCAAAAAAAGATACTTCAATGTATTATATTCCATAGGTTGCCATTATCCTAATTAAAGAGATCTTGAGCTTATTACCCAGAAGAATTACCAGGAAATAGCTGCTCCAAATCATAATCATTTTAGCTTTTTGATGAATCAGGACGATATCGGCTGAACCATGAGCTAATGACTTTGTCGCAGAGAACGGAGAGTACTGGGAATACGTTTTGCACCAAGAAAGGCATGGATGCAGTGCTTGCCATTACCCGTCAGGTCAGTAAAAATTTCTAGTGCAAGTTTTTTGAAAGGATACACCTGGATATTAAGTGGGTTAGCCGTAGCTCAGACTGTTTTTGCATCTTTTCAAGGGTTGGAGATTGTCCAAAAAATTAATTTGATTCATGGAGAGAAACACTATAGTTTTTATTTCCGGTTCTTACTGATTTCCCTGTTGGAAGAACTACCACTTATTAAAGATTGTAAGGTAGTTCTCAATGAAGCCCCCTGGAGAAGTTCCCTCCTATTGCAGGGGCACTCATCTCATTTCTGGGAAACGAGAGGAAATGAGGCCTCCTTTTCATTTTCATTTGGCTTTCGTTTTAGATTTGTATAAGTTATGTTCGATTTGCATTCCAAATTCATAACATCATAACTTCTTTCATAATCAGCTTTTCCTGATAACCTTATCTATCAGGTCTATTGAGACTTACGAAAAAGACTATTTAAGAAGAGAACTCAAGAATTTTCTTTCTTTTTCTTTCAACCTAACTTCTTTGACATGGTGACGCTTCCTTATACTGACGGGCGCATTGAGCCATCTCTCGATAAAGAGGATGGTTCTTCTATTAGGTTGTCCGGAAATTAATGCAGGTTTCGATTTTCAACCTCCACAAGTCATACATTTCTCATTTTTGAATAGGTTGCAAGGTACTGTTCGATAGAGCAAAGCAAGCTCTACAAGATAGCTATCTCGCTTTTACAACAGCTCTCATCCTCCTGGAGTTTTGAGCCAAAAACTAAAAAGACTCAGCAGCCCGAAAAATCGAAAAAAATCGTAACTCAGTTCATAAAAATCCTACAAAATTCTAACTTGCTCACGTAAACACAGTCCACATAAGGCATCTATATACGCCGTTGCCGTATTTTTCTTTATTAGAAATCAAGAAAACGGAAACTTTCGTGCATTTGCCAAAGTGGTGCTGTGCCGTTTCCACATAAGTAGTGGTATACTACAAACCTTTAGAAATACAAACGCAAATTTTCAGCTCTCTACAAGCTCTAGTTCTCGAGAAATATCAAATACAGTTTTCCCTAGTCATGTGCTCCAAGCTAAAATTTAAATTTTTCGCGAACTAAAGCTTATAGAGAGCTGGAAATTTACGTTTGTACTTTTAAAGGTTTGTAGTATACAACTACTTATGTGGGAACGGCACAGCACCACTTTGGCAAATGCACGAAAATTTCCGTTTTCTTGATTTCTAACGGAGGAAGAAATATGGTAAAGGCGTATATAAGATACCTTATGTGAATTGTATTTACGTGAGCAAGTTAGAATTTTTGTAGGATTTTTATGAACTGAGTTACGATTTTTTTCGATTTTGCGGGCTGCTAAGTCTTTTTAGTTTTTGGCTCAAAACTCGTGTTGGATTAGAGCTGTTGCTAAAGCAAGACAGCCATCTTGTAGAGCTTGCTTTGCTCTATCGAACAGTACTTACTCACTTAGATACTTAGATGGCCCGGCTTCACGTGACGTGCGGGCCCCAGCTCAGAAGTTTCCATTTCGCCCTGTCCCTCGCTTCTGACATCCACGATCTTCTTGGCTGACGTCGGTGGCTGCGTCCACGAGTTCCAGGTGCAAAAATCGTATCCAGCTGATTTCTCAGCTGGTCCATCCGTTCCACAAACACGTCTGCCCATCTCGTTGGAGGTCTTCCTCGGGGACGTTTTGCTTCGCGAGGAATCCACTCCGATGTTCTTAGTGTCCATCTGTCGTCTGTTCTTCTCATAATGTGACCAGCCCAACCGAACAGTACCTTGCAACTTATTCAAAAATGAGAAATGTACGACTTATGGCGGTTGGAAATCAAAACCTGCATTAATTTCCGGACAACCTAATACTACCAAAACGAACTCATAGAGTCTTTGTCACCTGCTGATTTCTTTCAGCAAGTAAAGGAATTGCTTTTTGACCATTCTTTAATACCCTCATATATGCCTAATAATTGATACTGATTTCACTTTATGTAGAACATTCTCACTCTAAATGTATGACGATTTTTACCATACCACAATCACGTATAAAATTTTTTTGATATTCTTCCGAGGCTGCCAAAGCATTTTTCTTATGATCATTTCGAAAGATCTTGCATTCGATTCTAAGTTATGCACATCCTTGAGCAACTAGCTCACTTTCTGAGCTTAGAGTCAATAACTGATGAGGTACATGGTATTCCCCAAAAAAAGCATTTTTGTTCTTTTAGGGATCACAAGAACTTGCAAATGGTCTCCGAGATCGATGGCGCATGGATGACCAATGCCAAAAAAGCGCTGTGTTCTTGTTGAGCGCCGATAACCGTCAGCTTTATTTTGCTCCACAGCCAGGGACCCCGCTGAGTGAGTGAAAAAATTTGTAAATCTTTGTTTCGACTCGGACTTAGCTAATTTTAGATGATGCCGAATTTCAAGCCATACTGGCATCAAACAGCATGCAGCTGCAAGCAGGTAGGCTCTCAAACCCATTTATATCCATTTATGTCTATAAATCACCAAAATTGTTGAAAAACATAAAAAGCAAAATCTCTGAAAGAAATTTTTGTGCTTGTTCCTTTGTGCTTTTGAACTTGACAGAAATGGAGCAAAAAAATTCAAAAACGTTTGGAAGAAGCTTTGGACGTTTTTTGCTCATTTTTCCTTTTTCATCCTCATCGAACTGTATTCTTAGGAGAGTTTCTGCCAGCGCTAGTCAACATCTTCAAGGAAATTGGCAAAAAGACTGACGTTGTTGGCCCAGAGCCACCCACCCCCGTTCCCCCATACAAAAGGGCCTCACCTATTACGATCTTTGTATCCATCATGCTTGCATTACTACTTTCATTTTGATTATGTTTTACTGTATATTTTCTTTCTCTACTCAAAAATGTGCTCACTCGAACCATGGTTACTATAAATTGCCTTATACTATGTAACAGAGTGTGGAATGATCGGAACAGTTGTATCATTTGGAAATTTCTATAGTATTATGATTTCAAAACATATCATGTAACAATAAATGTTTTTAATGAAGGTGTAATACCAAATTGTTCCATAAGTTCGTAGTTTTTTTGATATTCGTCCTCACCTCTTTGAGGAAGGAGGGCTCAATCTGCCCCAAGATGCTATACCACTCAAAACTCTCCATGCGCTTCAAGCTTTGCTTTCCAATCTCGCGGTAATCTGTCCCTAGTCATCTACCCTCTGAACATAGGATATCAATAAGACAAAAGAAAGTACTTTTGGTACCATGCTGTTTTTCATTGCAAACAGGAGCATTTTTGGCACATAATTACTACCGAAGGTAAAAAAGGCGTTTATACGTCAATTTCATACGAAGGAAAAAATGGCTTGCTACAGAGAAAACGCCATCGCCACAGCCGAGCTTATCGCACACAGCCAGATTCAATCTAAAAATCCCTGTTTAACACTGTGATTCATTATTTCTTATCTTAAAATGTAGACTGCCTGTCTCCGCAAGGACATGAAAGCGTAAAAGATGGCTCAACTCATTGGTTAGTTTGAACACACATAAACAGAAGCTGAAGGCTCCACATACAGGGTTCTTTAAAGAATGTATTCATTGTTTGATTGCTAATAACTCTCTTATTATGAGGTCTTTCGAGAAGCGGTAAGCGCCATTTTGTAAAGCTGGCTTCAAATTAGATTTATAGTAAAGAGCGAATCAACGATCGCTCTTCATTACTGTGGGATTACGCTAGAAACTTGGAACATATGGTGTCACTGTGAAAAAGCTGCCGTTTCAAAATTTTTCAAAAAGATGTGAAAACTTGTGTAATAGGTTTTTCAGGGACGCCGAGTTCAATACTCAACTATTTCCAAGATTGCGAGGCTTTCTAAACGGTGTAACCGCACTTTTTAGGAATATTGAGAAAATGGCCACTGCTTACCTCGCATAACTGTTCATTGAAGCATCATAATAAGTTGGGAACTTTACAGTCAGAATCAGCAACTCTAATTGGCCTAGTGTAAAAGTTTTCAGGCTGTTCTTATTCCTTTCTGAGGCAAAATATGGCCTTTCAGGTTCAAAACCCTTTTTCAAGTTTCTACCGTAATCCTACAGTAACGGAGGAAGATGGACGATTCGCTTTAATTTGTAAATCTAACAAGGGAATGGTCAGAAGTGGAAGTGGCCAAACCAAACAAGCTGTATATCATTCGATGCAGTATAAAACGCTGACTTCGAATCTGTCTTCCTTATCTGCTTCCCGCTTCTGTGGACGAAGCTACAAGCGGTTTTGCTGTGGAAAAATCATACATAAAAACATCGAAATTGAGCACATTGTTGCACTTTTAGCTCGGCTTCTGGCTTCAAAAATAGTAAGCTAGCTGCATGTTTTGGCCCAGCACTGAGGCGAACGAGGCTCTGTACAGCTAAATTTTCAATTTCACGCATAATTTCTAAGCAAAATAATGGTCTTTAATGGCTTATAACTTCGTCCAGAAAAGCGATAAGCAGATAAAAAAGAGAAATTTAAAGTCAGCGCTTCATGCTGCATCTAACGCTATGCAGCTTGTCTGGAATGGCCACTTCGATTTCTGACAATTCCCTTGTAAGATGAAGCCAGCTCTACAAAATGGCTCTTACCGCTTATTGAAAGACCTCATAATAAGAGAGTTATTAACAATCAAACTGTAGATACATTTCTTTGGGACACCCTGTATACAGTGCTGGACATAATTATAGGGACACTCTTGAAATCGTCGTAACTTTCGTTCTTGTCAGTGAATCTGTCTGAAACTTTGCTGTATGGTACGCATGTAAGTCTACCATAACTCCTCAGAACGGCTTCCAATCCCGTTGATTCCGAACGGAGAAAAATGGAAAAATCCGAAAAAGCCTGTTTTGCAAGCTGGACATAATTATAAGGACACCTGGCCTTTTTGAACATTATCGCATTCCTTGACTCCCAAATTTGTTTGTAGAGTCACATCCCAGAATATGAAACTTTTGCAGCACCTAAGACCTGTCATGCTACTCAAGGAAAGATGATCCTTGCATTTTTCGTTTCCAAAGGCATCAGAAGTCAAACTGCTTCAATAAACAACCGCTTTGAAGAGTTTTCAAGCCCTTGTTCATTTCAAATGATAATCATGGAGTCTACTGATCCTTCTGGATAGATGAGGTGACGAGCGCTTTCGTAAACTCCGCGTTCGCTGATTTTGACGGACAGACTCCAACCTCAAAATAGGATTGTCGCGCTTTTAAACCACAAAACTCGATTTTCAAGTTACAAGAAACGCTGCAATGTAGCCGCAACAATGCACGTACAACAATAAACTTGTGTGCCTAGTCAGGAAAAAATTTCGGGGTTGCACATTCTGGTTCAGCCGCAGTGTCATCCGTTGAGAGTTGAGTGGAGCACCCTGTACAATCATATCCAACTCAAATCAAGAAATCGAACAGGAGAGCGCTTGAAACTTCAAAACCTTAACTAATCTCAGCTGCGTAAAATGCGACATGAAACAGAGAAGGATATAGTGAGATTTGTGATTGTGTTGAAAGTTGTTGCAAAAGCTGCGTCTCCATGTAGACAATATAATAAATCGAGTCCATCATTTCACGAACATTGGAAAGTGAGTTTTGTGGTTTAAAAGCGCGACAATCCTATGTTGAGGTTGGAATGTCCGTCAAAATCAGCGATTACGCGGAGTTTACGAAACCGCTCTTCACCTTATCTATCAAAAAGGCTAAGTGTATTCCAGGACTGCCATTTGAAATGAACGCGGGCTTAAAGACTCCTCAAACCAGCTGTTTGTTGACGCAGTTTGACTTCTGATGCCTTTGGAAACGAAAAATGCAAGGATCATCTTTCCTTGAGTAGCATGACAGGTCCCAGGTGCTGCAAAAGTTTCAAATTCTGGGATGTAACTCAACAAAGAAATTTGGGAGTCAAGAAATGCGATAATGTTTAAAAAGGCCAGGTGTCCTTATAATTATGTCCAGCTTGCAAAACAGGCTTTTTCGATTTTTTCCATTTTTCTCCGTTTGGAATCAACGGGATTGGAAGCCGTTTTGAAGAATTATGATAGGCTTACATGCGCACCATACAGCAAAGTTTCACACAGAGTCACTGACAAGAACGAAAATTACGACGATTTCTAGAGTGTCCCTATAATTATGTCCAGCACTGTATAAGCATTTAAGACTATCTAAGCTTTAATGGTCAAGACAACTTGAATGGTTTTGACCTGTTGTGGTCAAAAACAAAATAGAACTTTTTATGACCGTAGGGAAGAGAAAGCTTCTTCGTTTAATTGCTTACAGGGAGTCGGTTTGGTAGGGTTTAGTGTACAGGGTGATTCAAAAAAGTTTCCTGTTTGATTGAAGATAACTTTTTGTTTTGAAGTTTTTAGCGGACCTATAAGTGCCATTCCGTAGAGCTGGTTCCAACTAAATTTACAGCACACGGTGAATCACATCTCTCTTTGTCGCTATATAATTGTGGTAGGAACCTCCAGCGGTTTCGCGTCATCTGCGTTTTAAAAAAATGTGGAAAGTTTGTAGCTAGGTTCTCAAGAGCAAGTTGCATTATGACTTTTTACAGGTCTGTAGAACTTTAGAAACGATGTGACGTCATTGAATAAGATGAAAAAACATTTGTCTTGCTATACCTGGCATAACTTATCAGCGATATATATATAGGAAAGCGCAGATTCCATATTTAGAGTCAGAGACTGCGATTTGCCCTGCGTAAATGTTTTCGAGTTGACTGGTTTCTTTCTTAAGGCAGAATATGACCCTCAATGGCCCAAAATCTTCTCCAGGATTCCTACCATAATCGTACAGTAATAAGAGAGCTGTGATTTGTTCTGTATTGCAAATTCTAAGCTAGTCAGACCGTAGGAACACTTTAGAGACACTCTGCATCAAATCAGTTTTATAATGAATGCAGTGGGCAATAACTTTAATGACAAAAGGAAGCTGTTGGTGCATGGGTGCCAAGGCAATCAGTCATTAAAAAATTTGATAAGGAGAAGGTACACAAAGCACGACTTAGAGAAATGGCATTAGTGGACAAGACGTCAAGAAATACTTCCTATCAGCATGTGTGCGTCAACGATGACTCAGCTCGAACACAGTTGAGCGTTGTGACATGAAGAACATGCCTAGAAACTTCTAAAGGCACCGTCCATTCAGTTTCTCGACTTTCTTATTTTTGTCTTCCGAAGCCTTCTCACGTTTCTGGTTCCAAATATGAAGTTGAGATTCCGCGAAAATCCCGCAATCTTCGTTTTGGAGAACACGCTGGATTGTCTAGATTGGTTGGACAAGCACGCATGGGCAGGCATTACTGGGAGGGGGCGGTGCTGACTTGGGATTCTCGTGCTTCTTCGTTATTCCGGAGCAATTTTCTCGCTTACGAAGCAATATTTTTAGCCGCGACTTGGGCATTGACTTCATAGAAGACCCCACTATTGTATAATGTCAAAAGCTCGACACCTCCAAATTTACGGTGGACGGTGTCTTCAAAATAAAAGTTGCCTTCTTAACAATGACAAGTCCGATGTGTTTGTAGAAGAGAAACTTACAGACAAAATGAAAGTCGATTAAATCGAAAGCCATGTGAAACAAGCGTTTTCTTCTTCTTAGCAATTTGGTCAGGCAGCTGAATAAATAAGTTTCAAGAGTCTAAGTAATGACACCTAAAGTTCCGACGTGCTACTTGTTGATACCGATGGTCTGCTTTAGACATGGCCAGCGAGGTGGGAAAACTTTCGTGAAAAAAAATCTGATCGAAAGACGGATGAATCGACAACCACGCAAGCTTCTTCATCGTTTAATGATGCGATTTTCCCATTGCTAATGTCATATCGTATAATCTGAGAATCAATTCGGTGTACATCGTTGCTTTTATTTTTCGGAACAAGTTTTGAGTTTAAGTTTGCTAACGCGGAACTCAAATGTTTTCTCTTTGAAGTTGGATAATTTACA